GTCAAGCATGCTGCCCACCTTCCGAAAGTTGTTTATTGACTGGGATTTACTTGTAATTCGAAAAAGGAAGGAAGATAGCGCGAAAGATTGGCGAAATAGTCAACGTATTGATGCATCTGGACTGTTCTTCTTGTACAGTGTGAACAAAAGAACAAAGTCACATTTTGCCGTCAGCTGTGAAGAAAATAATTTTGTCTGCTAGATAGATTGGTGTCTTCATATAGGCGTGCTAACCCAATCAAAAAACATACTGTTGAGAATATCCAGCTATAAAATTAACCTGTCGAGCAATATAAACTTGTGATATGTAACTATCCATACCACTTTTATTGAGTTAGCTGGGTATATCTAGTAACGTATTGTGTTAGGTAGCTATATCGCCCGTGAGTAAATAGCCGGATCTGAAGTGTTAGCTAGGTGTATCGTCTTTGGGGCTGTACTAAAAGTACCATCAGCGAAAATCGTCTCAGCGCTAAATAATAAATGCATTTGTTGGTTCGTTGCGTACACAAGAACACGTTCTGTTTCACGTTTAAGAAAAAAATCCATTAATAGAAATCGTTTTTGTGCCAATGTCTGTTGGTAAAATGTTGGTATTTCAAAAACACATGATGTTGGAATCACCGGCGTCTTCTTCCGTCGAGCTTTGCTCATATTCGAACCTAATAAATAAAATAAAAGTAATATTCGAACGTGAGTTTTGTTTTGTTAAAGATACTTACGATATTCGATAAGTGTTGGAAGTGTTGCTGCTCCTTCTTAGGACAAATATGGGTTTTCGTACTCAGCACACTCGATAACCGAGAAGATTTTCTGCTTTTGGCCCGAGGTACTTCCGAAAGTTTAGGAAAAGTTTTCAAATTAATATTATTTTTCCATGGAAAACTTTTTGCGCCATTTTGTTTGAAAAGTTTTCTTAAACTTTCGGAAGTACCTCGGGCCAAAAATAGAAAATCTTCTGGGTTATCGAGTGTGATGAATACGGAAAATCACTTTTCAGCAACTCTAAACCAACTTTATTTTTTTTGTTCCGGTGGTATGGTAGAATTACGTAATCTGCAGATGTCTTCTCCATTCTACGTTCTTCTTTTCGCGATTTTCCTTTCTGTTTTTCCCTCTCATATATTTTCTTTCGATATTAAATTTATATCTGAGTCATTTGCAACTTTATTGTACAATCGAGTTTTTGTCATATTTTTAAAATTACTCCAGTTTCTGGAAACAGATCTGGAAATTCTTTTGTTTGTTTTATCGCTTATCGCTTGCTTCACTACCACAGAAAATCTCTGCTCGATATCTCAATAACTCACCAAGATAAACCTATCAAAAGTCGACAAAAATCTGTTTTTAGATGACTTATTGAGAGAAAAGTAAGTTTTTCTAACAAAAGAAAGAACGAAAAGCAAATAGTACGTTAGACTCAAAAAACAGCCGAGAACAAGATGTATTAATCAAATTTTGTTTAAAGTCACTGTCATTCTTTTTCACCAATTGTACAATAAAGTTGCAAATGACTCATTTACATTTTCCTTTCTACGTTTTCCTTTTCGAAATTTTTTCTACGTATTTCTTTCTACATTTTCCTATTCGACATTTTTCTTTTTCTGTCTTTTCCGTCAATCCGAGTATAAATCCTTTAATATATTTTAGAAAATTCAATATATCTGAAAAGCAATTTCGATCGACGCCAAGTACACAATGATCTATATAAATATATCAACTTTTTTAAAATTTCGACTGACGAAAGTTAGGTTGGATTGGGTGCAACTAAAGTCTGTTAATTATTTAGACAATGAAATACCCATTTAATCGGACGTGTAGGTGAAAAAATCAAACAATATATTTTTTCCAATCAGCCAAACATATTAAACCACCGAATACCTTTCTGCTTCTTAGTTTACTGGAAGATCGTTCTCATCCAGCCGGCGCTAGAAAGTTTAAGCTAAAATCGTAGAACGACGGCTTTACTGCTCACGATTCTTTTCAGTAATGAAACAATGTATTAGACTAAAAACTATCAAGTTTAAGAGAACATGAATTTGTTGTTGCTCAAATTATGTCTTGATAATTCAGTGGCAACAAAATTTAGAAAATAAAAAATCTCATTATTTTATAACATATACACAAAAAAACAAGATTTTTAAAATAAATCAATCAACAGACTAACAACAAAAGTAGCTATAAATACTCCACCAAATTTAGTGAGGCTTTGAGTATAAATCCTTTAATATATTTTAGAAAATTCAATATATCTGAAAAGCAATTTCGATCGACGCCAAGTACACAATGATCTATATAAATATATCAACTTTTTTAAAATTTCGACTGACGAAAGTTAGGTTGGATTGGGTGCAACTAAAGTCTGTTAATTATTTAGACAATGAAATACCCATTTAATCGGCGCGTTCAGCACTCGTTGGGGACTTGAACATGATTTCAACTCATTTCTAGCTACATAAATGCGCTTTCCGCGCGCTGCATCTATATTTGGAGCTGAATTATCACTTATTGCTTGCTTGTTGAATTGCAAAATGAGATGTAATCTTTCGAGACTCAATGGCCTGTGCGACTGATAGTCAAGCATGCTGCCCACCTTCCGAAAGTTGTTTATTGACTGGGATTTACTTGTAATTCGAAAAAGGAAGGAAGATAGCGCGAAAGATTGGCGAAATAGTCAACGTATTGATGCACCTGGACTGCTCTTGTACGGTTTATCCTCAGAAGGGTAAAAAGTGAATAAGTTTTTGGTAGTAAAATTGAATATTGAATATTGAATTGAATATTGCTTTAGAAGCTAAAAGTATGTTTATGTATAATTATTACATTATACGTTGTTTTTTACCTTGGTTTTTAACCAAACCATTTGCAGGGGATAAGAGATTTTTATGACAAGTAAGGCTAAGAACATAATAGAAACAAATAATCGTTCAGTTAAGAATGCATCATTCACATTTGATTCTAAGTTTCATTTTCGGACACGGCAAAAAAAAGCGTTGAAAAGTTGACGTTTTTTAGTGGACGGTTTTTTCATCACATCTTGGTATACTGTTTTACGGTACGTTTTCTGCTGGACACTTTTTTGCGGATAAATTTTTTAATGGTTTTAGTCACATGAAAAAACAAAAATTTGAAGAGATTTCTATATAAGAATTAGACTACGAGGGAGCCTTTCCAAATGGCCCTTCGTTGTTTTAACGAAATGTAGTGAGTTATAGGTAATCGACCATGCTGATTCTAAATATGATAGTCGTTTTGTCCATAGGCCTTCTTTACCCGATTTCTGGAAAATCGCTTTCCAGAAACCCTGAAAAATCCCCAAAACTTCTTCTAAATAAGTTACGATTGTAGCCCGTGAAACTCTGATCAAAATGAGACATCTCCCAACTCTACACAACCTTTCTTTGCAAAGTTATAGTTTACAAGAAAAGCTTTAAATGTTCATTGTCACCTCAGAGCTACAGAAAGAAAAAGCTGGAAAATGTCTCATTTTGATCAGAGTTTCGCGGGCTACAATCGTGACTTATTTAGAAGAAGTTTTGGGAATTTTTCGGGGTTTCTGGAAACCGATTTTCCAGAAATCGGCTAGAAAAGGCCTATGGGGAAACACGGCTGTCATATTCGGAATCAACATGGTCGATTACCTATAACCCACTACATTTCGTTAAAACAACGAAGGAGCATTTGGAAAGGTTCGCTCATTAGACTACACTATACTTTGGAAGCATGCCTGACCTGCTGGGCCGATCCAATCTCGCAAGAAACGGTTGTTTCCAAGATAAGCTATAGCTTATCCACTATAGTGCAGTAAAACGATTCGTCTATCCACTATGCACTTAAATACTATGCTTATCACTTAACGCTTCTATTTGAATGAATTTTTGTAGACTTATTGTTGTCAACGCTTTTCTTAGTATGCTTTTTTCGTGGACGTTTTCTAGTGGGCGCTTTTTTAGACGCTTGCTTTCTTGCCGTGGAGGGTTTTAAGAATTTTTTAACTTTGTAAATCTTTTTTTTGAGAACAATAAAGCTGTAATTAGGTAGTTGATGACGCAATATGAAAATAAGACGTCATAATTATATTACGTTATTGATGCAGTCTTTTTCCTTTTTTCTTAAAGGCAGAAGCACGAGAAAAAATGATGATGATTACAAATATCCTTCGACGCATTGATGCGTAAAATGATGTTCTCTATTATTCATTCTTATGAGCGAAATATCACGTTTCAATAGCAAAATCATTCATTATTTATACGGAAAAATATTCTCTATCAATACGTGTTTGTATCATGGATAAAATAAAAGCCGGTTTTGGTAAACTTAAGCAGGCATTCAAAGGTTCAAAATCAGATAAATCAGATTCGCCGAAAAGTAGTAAAAAAGGTAGCACTCCAGACGTATCAGCGAGTGCAAGTCGAAACTCAACTACGGATGCTCCAGCAGGTCGAAACTCAGCTTCGGATGTTCCTGCAAGTCGGAATCCACCAGCAAGCCGCATTCCACCAGCTCCCACCGGAGGGAGAAGTTAAACTTTTGAAAGAGCAGCACCAACAGGCAGACGAAATCGAATAATATAGTTATTTAATCAACAGTAACTAAACGCTCATTCTGAATATTTTTGCTTTTCTATGTTTACGTTTTTGCTTATGTATGAATTATTCTTTCGATTAAAGTACTTCATAATCTGTCTATCTCGGTAACAAAGAAATTCGGCTTACGGTAAATATATTAACGATTGGGGAAGTATAAGAATATTTGTCTAAGTATTTGCTACTATGATCTTATAACAGTTCTGACCTATAAGGAAGAAGAAATTTGTATTACATCTTCCGTATGTAGAACATTATGAATTCATGCACTTGAAACATTTCATTTATTCTGTAATCTTGACCAGAGCCAATATCTACTAACTGCTGATGTTTTTTCTACTTAGAAAAAAGGAATTTTTTTCATCGTCAATTTACCTTTCAAAAACTATATACCAGATGAAAGTCTAAGTTTTATATTGTCCTTACTAGGCATATTCATATAACTTTAAGATAATCATATAACGACGGCCTTTTTACTTATTAATTTCTTTATTTCCCTATTCAGTAAAGCTTAAGCTTTACGTTTATATTTAAATAGAACGAATAAGGGAAATAATAAAAAAGCCGTCGTTATATAATTATCTTAAAGTCCAAGTTTTATGGAACTTAAAAGAACATTTAAGTGGTGCTAGATTATCTTGATCTCGGTGAAATTATATCAACAGCAAACAATCTAAAAAATCTTTCTTTTTAAAAGTGAATCCAGTTAAACAACTTAAGGTGATATTATTAGCTAGCGAGTTCGAGCTTTCCCCGGTGAAAAGAGGGCATCCAGGCATGTAATAATCATTGGACTTGCCAAGATCTTTGAGAGATTTCTAGAAGGTCTCTGGAACGCTTCCCTCGTACAAAATGGGAATCCTGATTCTTCTGAGTGGGTGCAATTTGCCATGCTGTTCTCTGCAAAACCAAGCAAAGGCCGAGCTCGCTAGGTTGTTCCATCCAGGAGTTATAAGCATTTTCCCGAGAGTCCCGATTTCGGCCAGTTGATCTTGGATCACCCTAAAATCAAGATAGAGGTAATCGGCCACGCTGAGTCGAGTGGTGATGTTCATTTTTGGTTTCCTACTGATCTAAAGTCACTACATAAAGATTTTCGAAATATCCGCTATATACGCAGCATACCGGCAGAATGCTGGAATTCGAAAATCTTTATATAGTGACTTTAGATCAGTAGGAAACCAAAAATGAACATCACCACTCGACTCC